GCCTGCTACCACGGACGCTGGGAGCATCCTGAGGGCGTCGAGGTCGAGAAAAAAGTCTAGGAAGTGTCATGTCGGTGCGCACCTCGAGGCGGAGATTCCAGCAGTCGAGCGCTTCCACCGCGTCGCCCGCCGCCGCCTGCTCGCCCAGCAGCTCCTCAAGGCTCAGCGACTCGAGCGGTCGTGCCTCCTCAAGGCTCAGCGACTCGAGCGGTCGTGCCTCGCCACCGCCGCCACCGCCGCCACCGCCGCCGCCGCCAGCTTCGATGAGTGCGCTCACAGCCTCAAAGCGATCGAGAGCGTTGCGGGCGTCGCTGACGCCGTCGAGGACATTGTCGAGGACGCAGCGCGACTCGTCCAGTTGCGGTTCCTGCTCCAGCATACCCACCCGCAGCGACGGAGCGCGCCAGACGTTGCCCTCATGCTCAGAGTCTGTGCCGGCTAGCAGGCGGAGAAGGCTTGACTTGCCAGCGCCATTCGGCCCCAGAATACCAACCTTGGCGCCCGAGAGAAGGCCGAGGGAGACGTCGTTGAAAAGGACACGCCCGCCCGGCAGCACCTTGTGCACATGCTCGAGCCGTGCCACAAACTGCCCGGGCGTGCCCTCGCCGCCCTTGGTTCGCGCCGCATCGCCGCCCTTGCCCCCGCCGCCCTTGGTCCCGCGATTGCCGCCCTTCTTCTTCTTGGCCAGCCAACGACGAAACGTGCACTGCGGCGACAGGCGCGGCGTTGGTCGGGGCCGACGCGCCAACATGATTGTTGGGAGTGTGAAGGCCCTCCTCGTGTAAGCTGCGTTGGCTAGCCAAAGTTTGTTTTTGCAACATTGTGAAGAGAAGTACTGTCTGCGCGGCACGTGCAGTCGCCACTAGATTCTCTCTTCTCCCTCGGACGCGCTGGGCAGCGGGGACGGGATGGGGAGGCCGAGCCGCTCGGCGGTCTGCCGCGCCTCCTCCAGCGAGATCTCCTCCTCCTCCTCCTCGTCATGCAGCCGCGCGCCGCTAACATAATAGATAAAAATGAAGAAAATCGCGGCCGCTCGCAAGTGGGGCGCGCCGCCTAGCTCTGCGGACGGGCCCCTCCACCCGTCACGTACGGATCATGTAGTCCCCACACTCGCTGTCGTGGGATCGCTTGTCTGAGGGCGGCGGCGGAAAGTGGGTCTGGTGCGCCACACGGCCACCACCCTTGCCAGCACCCTTGCCGCCGCCCTTGCCACCCTTTGCCGCCTTGCCTCCGCCGCGGGCGGCGGTGGGAGCGGCCTGCTGGGCTAGCATGTTGTCCTTGCTGGGGACGGGCACGTGGAACGTCAATATTCATGTTCTAACGGCCCCCGGGATTCAAACAAAAAATAGCTGGGGCCCTCTCGCAACCCTCCGACCCCCCGGGACCCGTGGGCGTCGAAGAGGCGCTCTCGGGGGGCCGTTCTGAGTTCATACTACCTCGAAGCACACTGTATATACTGCGTCGTCAAAGCACCGGCCCTGAGTCCGAGATGGGCGACGCACGAACGAACCAGAGGCACAGCGCAGGGGACAGGGGTGCCTTTGAGCACTTGGAGTGCTGTTGGCAACCTCACACCCAGGGCCAGGGCGCAAAGCAGCGCTCCCAGCGGGCCTGGGAGGGAGGGAGAGAGAGAGAGAGAGAGAGACTCAGAGTAATGATCGATCATCCGTAGACAGGAGACAGGTAACAAATCTACAGCTGCCGGCGAAACACAGACCGAGCCACGTACTCAGATCGCGCGCTC